ATTGGAGTTGGTGCCAGTGAGGACAATAGAAAAGAAAGATACAAATGGAACTGAAATGGAAGTGATTTGTATGTGTTTGCAAAAGTAGCTTGCCCTGGAGCAAATGTCAATGTTTATGACAATAATGAGACTGAGTTTTCGGTGTAGGGATTTTCACAAAGAAGGTGATGTACTTAAATTTCTTGAATTAAGCTGAGGAACCTGGAAGAACCTGGTCCTCGGCTTTTGCCTGAAGGAAACACCTCCTTCCACAGAGGAAGTAGTACTGGGAAAGCTGTAAGGGTTTCACACTTTCAAATTAACCTCAATGGTAAGCCCATAATCAAAGTATTTAATATATTTAGCAGATATTTTAAAAATATTTTTAATTAAATAAAAAATAATAAAGCATTCCATTAGCCTGATGATGGTCTTTACAAAAACCCTCACAACAAATATTCTTCATGGTGACATATTAGAGTCATGCTATTTATTTTTTTTATTTGACAGGCAGAGTTCTAGACAGTGAGAGAGAGAGAGACAGGGACAGAGACAGAGAGAAAGGTCTTCCTTCCACTGGTTCACTCCCCAAATGGCTGCCACGGGCGGCACTGCGCCAATCCGAAGCCAGGAGCCAAGTGCTTCCTTCCAGTTTCCCACACGGGTGCAGGAGCCCAAGCACTTGGGCCATCATCCACTGCCCTCCCAGGCCACAGCAGAGAGCTGGAGTGGAAGAAGAGCAACCGGGACTAGAACCCGGCGCCCATATGGGACCATGCTATTTTAAAATGGATTCATTTTAAAGATAAGATACTTACCAGAAATGAGTATAACAAAATATGTGAAGAATATTTATGCAGGAAATTACAAATTGTTGTTCAGAAAAATTGAATCTGACTTAAATAAATGGAAAAATAAGCATATTCACAGAAAGGGAGACTTGGTAAAAAAATATATCAACTCTACCAACTGGTCTACACATTCAGTGCAATTTTAGTCAAAACTTAACTACATTTGACAAGAGACCAACAGTGTCTAAATACATAAAAGAAGAGGAAAAGAACAGGAGTAGTCCAGGTGACATCTAGTAATATTCCCTTTTTAGGTATGAAGCTATACAGACTCTTTAGGATGATACGGTGTTGGCAAGTGGGTGGACAAATAGATTAACGAGAAAAAGAGAAAAACCTCCTGGGTAGAAATAGACACAAGGCATGGATGGCACAAAAGGTCGCTAATGAAGAAGGAATTGTTCAACAAATGCTTTGGGGACAATTAATTACACAAACAGAGCCATGAAATTCGATCTCTATCTTACTTTAATTCTATTCACAATACTGGTTTAAGTATGAAAGGCAAAATATCAAAACATACAGGAGAAAATACATGTGTAAGTATTTTTATGATCTCGAGGTAAGGCAATATTTCTTTATTTCATCACTTATTTTTTAAACCTTTTTTTGTTATTTAAATATTTTATTGAAATACAGCATAGATACCAAGAAATGCATATAGGTGTACAGACAAATGAGTTTTTGGTATTGTTTGCTTTTTTTTTTTATTTTTGACAGGCAGAGTGGACAGTGAGAGAGAGAGACAGAGAGAAAGGTCTTCCTTTTGCATTGGTTCACCCTCCAATGGCCGCCGCAGCTGGCACACTGCAGCCAGCGCACCGCGCTGATCCGAAGCCAGGAGCCAGGTGCTTATCCTGGTCTCCCATGGGATGCAGGGCCCAAGCACTTGGGCCATCCTCCACTGCACTCCCTGGCCACAGCAGAGAGCTGGCCTGGAAGAGGGGCAACCAGGACAGAATCTGGCGCCCCGACCAGGACTAGAACCCGGTGTGCCGGTGCCGCAGGCAGAGGATTAGCCTATTGAGCCGTGGCGCTGGACAGTTTTTGGTATTCTAAGCATATTAATAACTGATACCCAAATTAAGAACAAAACACTACTAGCAGCCCCAAGAGTCCTCAGTATCCGGCCCCTCCATTTTTTTAAACTGGAGAAAGAAGAGTATATTGTCATTTGGGTGGTATGATTCCGTAAGGCACGATTTGTAACTTAATACCAAATGATACGGCATCCACACAATTCTTACAATAGAAAAATGAAAAAGGTATAGAAAAAGACAAATGAACTTAACTATACAACATCTAAGAACTTTTTTCTTTCTGTTGATTCCCTGTTAAATACATGTAATTGGGGGCTGGCACTGTGGCATAGTGGGTTAGGCCTCCACTTGCGGCGCCAGCATCCCTTGCGGATGCCCGTTCATGCCCTGGCTGCTCCTCTTCTGGTCCAGCTCCCTGTTTATGGCCTGGGAAAGCAGCAGAAGATGGCCCAAGTGCTTACGTCCCTGCACCTGCATAGGGGACCTAGGAAGGCTCCTGGCTCCTGACTTCAAATCGGCTTAGCTCTGGCTGTTGTGGCCAACTGGGGAGTGAACCAGAGGATGGAGGAACTCTGTCTCTCCCTCTCTCTGTCTGTAACCCTGCCTCTCAAATAGATAAACAAATCTCTAAAACAAATACACATAATTGCTCTTTAGATGTCTTTCTCTTCTGAAGCGTCTTTTCCATGACTTTGTTCCACTGGAGTTGTAGCTGCTGGTCCTCTATGTTGCTATTGATTTGAGGACTCTGTTGGATGTACATATTGTAAACGTCTTTCCCCACTTGGCAGCTTGCCTTTTCAATCTCTTTTTTTTTAAAGATTCATTTATTTGTTTACTTATTTGAAAGATACAGAGAGAAATAGACAGAGAGAGAAAGACCTTCCAACCACTGGTTCCTTCCCCTATGGCCAAAACAGCTAGGACTGGGCCAGGCTATGCCTTCTTCAATTGCCTTCCCAGGTGCATTAGCAGAAAGCTGGATTGAACCTACATTCTGATATGAGATGCTGGCCTTGCAAGTGGTGGTTCAACTCAGTGCACCACAGTGCTAGCCCCAACAACTAAGAACTCTGTTCATTAAAAGATACTATTAAAAGAGAAAAATCATATGCATAAATTAAGACATTTGCAATACATATAATTAAAAATATTATTATTCAGAATATATGAATAACAAAAAACCAGAATTCTACTTTTAATAATATTATGAGCTAGGTTAACTGGATAAATCATTCCAATGAAAAGAACTCCAAGTGTTGCAATCTGTATGTGTGCATACATGGATGTGTGTGCACGAACCTATCTCTATCTATCTATCTATCTAGAGATCTCTTTATACATAGTCAGAACAAGTAACTGAAATTATCAAGGCTAAAGGAGAAAACAGTAGTGCATTTTAGATGTGCAGGAGAATCAGGCTTTGATTTTTTACAGACTTTGGAGCCACTGGAAACAGAAAGCAAGTCTCACTAGGATAGCTAGAACGAAAAAGTCAGCAAAAACTTGTTAGGGAGGATGGAGAGAATGGGAACCCTCATACACTGCTAGTGGGAATGTAAAATGCTGCAGGTACTTCAACAGTGTGTTAGCTCTTCAAACAGTTAAACCCAGCAATTTTACACCTAAATGTATATCTGAGAGATGAAAACATAGTTCACACATGAACACACATATACAAAAAATAAACACCTTGTACATGAAAGTTTGTAGCTGCATTATTCACAACAGCCAAAAGGTGTCAAAAATCCAAATGTCAAAAAAGTAATGAATGGTGATACAGAAAGTGGGATCCATCCACACCTTGGAATATTACTCAACCATAAAAAGGCAGGAAGGACTGACACATGCTCCAACATAGGTGAGCCTTGAAAACCTGCTACATGAAAGACACCCGTCACAGAAGACCAGACATTACATGGTCCCATGCATGTGACAGTGCACAGCAGAGCACGGAAAGAAATCGCGTAATCATTGCTTACCAGGGAGGGCAGGATAAAAGGAAGCAACAGGAGGATGATACCGAAGGGAATGGGTGCCTTCTTGGGGTGATGAAAGTGTTTGAAACTGACTCTGATGACAGCTGCACGTGTCTGTGAGCATACTAAAAGTCATTAAATTGTATCTTTTACATGGATGAATTTCATGGGATGTGAATTATAGCTCAATAAAAGTTCAGGGGTCAGCATTTGGTACAGCAATTAAAACGCCATATGGGACACCCATATCCCATATTAAGAGTGCCAGATTTCAAGTCCCAGCTATGCTTCCAATTCCAGCTTCCTACTAATGTCCACCCTGGGATGTGTATATAGTGGCCTAAGTATTTGGATTCCCTGCTACCCACGTGGGAGACCAGGATTGAGTTCCAGGATTCTGGCTTTGGCCTGGCCCATTCCCTGGGTGTTGCAGGAATTTTGGGAAGTGAAATGGTGGACGGAAGATCTCTGTGTGCCTGTCCATCTGTCTACCTGCCTCTGTCTCCCTCTCTCTCTTTCTCTATCTCTCTGCCTTTCAAATAAATAAAAAGCAGATAAATAAAAATTAACTAAAAAAATTCCATGGAAAATAGAATTGAAAAAAAGAGAAAAAATAAATAACTTTTTAAATTTTTTTAAAGATTTATTTATTTATTTGAAAGGCAGAGTTACAGGGAGGCTGAGGCAGAGAGAGAGAGAGAGAGAGAGAGAGAAAGAGAGAGGTCCTTCATCCGCTGGTTCACTCCCCAAGTGACCACAACGGCTGGAGCTGGGCTGATCTGAAGCCCAGAGCCAGGAGCTTCTTCTGATTCTCCCATGTGGACACAGGGGCCCAAGCACTTGGTCCATCTTCCATTGATTTCCCAGGCCATAGCAGAGAGCTGGATAGGAAGTGGAGCAGCTGGAACTCACACCAGCACCCATATAGGATAAATTGAAAATAAATAATAAAAATAAATAAATAAATAAAATGAAAACTCATACCATGTGATTCACATAGGAGAGGTGAGTACCTTGCAGAACACTGTACCTGACAAACATGGCATACTTCTCTTTTCTTCCCCAGGTTCATAGGGAAAAGTCACAAAAAGTGAGTAAATTATGGGTAGGTCTCATAAAGCTTCAAAGATCAAAATCATTCAGGACCTGTTCTCTGACCTCAATACCATTAAGCTAGAAATCAATAAGTAAACAAATACATTTTGAAAAGAAAGATATATCATGTATCTTGGGTCAGAGGAAGCAAATCATAACAAATAACATATATGAGCATGTATTTTAGACTGAACCAGAGAGGAATGTTGCTTATGAAAATGTGTGAGATGTACCTAATGGAAGTTCTAGAAGGAGATTCTCAGGAAGTTAGAGAAAGAAAGTAGAAGGAAGGAGATACTAAAAATAGGGTGAAAATTCACCAAATACAAAACAGACAAGAATCAAATTGGGTTCTTTGAAAAGTCTATTTAATTTTGAAATGATTAGTGGGAGAGTACAAGAGAAAATATAAATATTAAAATAAAAGCAATAAAGAATATTAGAAGTGTACAGTAAGTCATTGCTGCAGATGGACCCAGAAGACTTGGTAAGTTTGCCTGATGAATGAAGCCCAGCCAAAAGCCCTCAGCAAAATGCTTCGCAGTTTGTGATTTATCCAAAGATATTATCTATTACTATGATCTGTTTTGGAACTTCCGAAGTTCTGGTGAATTGTTAAAGAGACTCATATCAAACCACGTGCAACTAGACTTTGCAGTTCCCCTTCCTTACAACAAAATTATCTTCACATCCAGCCGACCCTTAGATCATAGCTTGCGGATGGATTCTCACGCCAGCACCAAGCAGATGCCATTGTACAGATGTGGCTAACACATCTGCGGGTTGTGGTCTTTGGTGCTTCTGGGGTCTGGGGCCTGGAATTCATTGGGGGTATTGCCAAGGACACACACACACATACATGGCATAGTGCACATGGGTCACTCCAAGAGAAGAAAATCATTTTCCATGACAATTTTTCTCACGTCAGATATCTTAAAAATTGATTTCAATGTTTTATAATGAATTAAACTAATGCTACTTGAAACATGGGTATCTTGACTACAATGTAAAAGTCATTAAGTGAAAAAAAAATATTCCTAGAGATTTTTTGGGAAAAAATCTGGTCAGTTAACTTGAAGTGCAGAAGAGGAAGCGCTCCCTTTAGGGGCTTTCCACACTGGGGAGAAGGATGGCGAATGTTGGGTTCTCCACAGTGAGAGAAGTTCATTCAGGAGTCACCGAAAGAGGAATATTCTCTGCAGCATCTGGATAAGCAGCAGCAGGGTCCCGATCCCAGCGAGGGTGGGTGGCTCGTTGGAAAGCAGCGCCCTCCATGGTCAGTTGTCCTGGAATCCTTGTGTCCCTTAAAGTCATCAACAAGCTTCCCCCAGAAATGGTCAACGTCTTGACAACCCAGAGCCTTGAGAGCAGGTGGTGTTGCTGGTCGTGATGTGGAGCGGGGTGGGCCTGGGGACCTCGCCCGGGGCTTTCCAGGCTGCCTCACGCCCTGCAGGCATTTCATCACCTTTTCTGTCTGCACTCCTTCCAAGCCGTGGCAGACGGGGGTCGGGCTGTTTGGGACCTGTTCTGAGGACCACGTTTACTGTATTTAGTCTGCTACAGGTCCTGTGTTTATGGCGTGCTGAAGCACACACTGGCCCACTCAGAGTTCCCGGGGGTGCAGAACATCCGAATGAGGTCACCCTGAGGACATCAGACGGATCATCCCCGGGTCCCATCTCCGCCCCTGCGGTGGCTGCTGGCTGGGCTGAGCAGAGCAGCGAGGGCCCGTGGGCAGTGCAAGGGCTTCCTTCCCCACTCCTTCCAAGCCTCCTCACACTTTCCTAATAGCCCCTTTGTTTCCCTAACTGGAGTTGATCCAAATTTTAATTTAAACAAAGGTCTTTGGCTTCAGGAAGACAAAGTCTTAATCATAACCCCTCTTCTTTATTTCTATTTTACTCTGAAATGTGGAGAAATTCTTCAGTTGATCTTCCTAACCTATGGTTCACTTTAAAAATAATGAATAAACTAAATTACTGCTGACATTAAAGAAAGTCCCAAACACTTTCCACAAAATTGCATTAAGAATTCACTTGCTTTAATTTACCCAGCAGCCAAGTATTTTTCAAGTGTTCTTTGCTGAAAATTTGAATATTGAGGAAAGAAAGTGAAAATTTCTACAGCTTATTGGTAGTTCATTGAGATATATATTCAAGGTTATAAAGAAAGTCAAAGTGGGATTTTAAAAAGGTATTTTTAAAAAATATTTTATTTATTTGAAAGGAAGAGTTAGAGAGAGAGAGAGAGGGAGAAGCAGAGAGAGAGAGAGAGAGAGAGAGAGAGAGAGATCTTCCATCCATTGGTTCACTCCTCCCAGATGACCACAACAGTCAGGGCTAGGCCAGGCCAAAGCCAGGAACCTGGAATTCATCCTGGTCTCCCACATGGATGGCAGGGGCCCAAGCACTTTGGGCCATCTTCCCCTACATTTCCCAGGTACATTAGCAGGCAGCTGGATGGAAGTGGAGCAGCTGGGACTTGAACTGGCACTCATAGGGGATGGAGCATCACAGGTGTGGCCTAACTGGCTGCACCAACCCCTAGAAAGGCATTTTTGAAGACCAAGAACATTTGATATTCTCCTGGGAAGCAAAATGATTTTAATAAATTGGATTTCAGATTGTGTTTTAAGAGAAATTAGAATTATTCTCAATACCGAAAATAAAGAGTAATCAAATGAAATAAGTTTGAATTTCATTAAAATCAATAATCTGGGGCCGGCACTGTGGCATAGTGGGTAAGGCTGCCGCCTGCAGTGTCAGCATCGTATGTGGGTGCTGGTTCAAGTCTTGGCTGCCCCACTTCAGGATCCAGCTCTCAGCTGTGGCCTGGGAAAGCAATGGAGGATGGTCCAGGTCTATTGGCCTCTGCACACATTTCAGGGACCCAGAGGAAGCTCCTGGCTCCTGGCTTCAGATTGGACAGCTCCAGCTGTTGCAGCCATCTGGGGAGTGAACCAGCGATAGAAGGCTTCTCTCTCTCTCTGACTCCGCCTCTCTATAATTCTGCCTTTCAAATAAATAAATACATAGTTTTTAAAAAATCAATAATCTATAAAATTGGTAATTAATATATACATAAGTAACACTGTGAAAACTTAATTTGTTCATTACAGAAATAATACAGGGCCAGCACTGTGGCACAGCATGTGAAGCCGCTGTCTGGAGCAGTGACATCCCATATTGGCAACGGTTCAAGTCCTAGATGCTCCACTTCTGATTCAGCTCCCTGCTAATGTGCCTGGGAAAGCAGCGAAAGATGGTCCAAGTACTTGGGCCGCTGCACCCAAGTGGGAGACCTGGAAGAAGCTCCTGGCTCCTGATTTCAGCCTGGCCTAGCCCCAGCCATTGTGGCCATTTGAAGAGTGAACCAGCAGATTGAAGATTTCTCTCTCTCCCTCCCTCTCTCCCTCTCTCCTTGTAATTCTGACTTACAAATAAATAAGAAATAACATGCATACAAGTATATAGGCCTATATAAACCTATTAAAGCAATCATAATCTATCTGTAAGAGCTACAAATCAGCATGTTCACTTGAGTTAGGATAAGATTAAAATAAAAGCAATTTCTGTAAACTTAAAAATAACAGCAGGGGCCGGCGCCTGGCTCACTTGGTTAATCCTCTGCCTGCGGTGCCAGCATCTCATATAGGTGCCAGGTTCTAGTCCCGGTTGCTCCTCTTCCAGTCCAGCTCTCTGCTGTGGCCCGGGAGGGCAGCAGAGGATGGCCCAAGTGCTTGGGCCCTGCACCCGCGTGGGAGACCAGGAGGAAGCACCTGGCTCCTGGCTTTGGATCGCCACAGTGCGCCGGCCGTAGCGGCCATTTGAGGGGTGAACCAACGGAAGGAAGACCTTTCTCTCTCTCTCTCTCTCACTGTCTATCTCTGTCAAATAAAAAAAAAAAATCCCAGCAAACTAAACCTAATAAAACCTTTATTTTATTTTGTAAATAGTTCCAAAAATCCCTTTCTATGTTGTTTTTTTGAAAATGTATTTTTATTTATATGAAACGCAAAGACATACAAACAGTCAAGTAGGTTTCTCATCTACTGATTCATTCACCAAATGCCTGCAACAGCCAAGGCTGGATCAGACAGAAGCCAGGAGCCGGGAACTCTGTCTGCATCTCCCACATGGGTGGCAGGTACCCAAGTATGTGATCTGTCCTCTGCTGCTTCCCAGGGTGTGCACTAGCAGGGAGTGGACTTGGGAGCAGAGCCAGGAATTCAACTCAGGTGTTCTGATCTGGAGTACAGGCGTCCCCAGCAGCATCTCAATCAGTGTCCCAAACGCCTACCCCACCCTGCCCCCCAAGATCCCTTTTTAAACTTCCCAGATTACTGATGAGCACAAACAATGTGAGAGTACAGATCGTTAAGTAGGACAAGTAGAAGTAGATCAATGATAGCCAACAGCTGAAGGTCAAGGTTCGGAAAGGGTCTGTAGCTTACAGTCACTACGTTAAATAGTACAAGACAAAGAGGGAGCCCCAGTGAGTAAACAGAAACACATTTGCACAGAGTCGATCTCACTTTTAATTCTGGTTAATATTGGAGTAAAGAAATGTAAATCAGCTGTTACAGCAGAAAGGGATGTCAGAGAATCTATCATCCCCCAAACTATAAAATTCCCAGGAAGTCTGTAACTTCTTGCCAGCTAATGTATCATTTTAAGAGGCAAATTAGCAGGTCAGCACTGTGGCATAGTATACTTAGCCTCCACCTGTGGCGCCAGCATCCCAATATGGGTGCCTGCTCCTCTTCCGATCCAGCTCTCTGCTAATAGCCCGGGAAAGCAGTGGAAAATGGCCAAAGTTCTTGGACTCCTGCATCCACATGGGAGACCGAAAAGTTCCTGGCTTCAGATTGGCTCAGCTCTGGCCATTGTGACCATTTGGGGAGTGAACCAGTGGATTTCTCTCTGTCTCTCCCTCTCTCTGTCTGTAAATCTACCTTTCAAAGAAATAAAAATCTTAAAAAAAAAAAAAGAGGCAATTGGCCATTTCAAGTTCCACTGTCAATCTATAGCAAATCAAAGGAAACAAAATTCTTCCTTCAGACATTTTAGGAAAGAGCTCTTGAGTCAAAGTTAAATGAAAATATTAATAAACCACTATTTAAACACATTCACTATTCCTATTAGTACTCATTTATCTTGTAACATCATGGAGGTCTTCAGCCATCATAAGTTATAGGTCATAATTCCCCAGTATTTTGTCCATGATATATCTAACAATTTTACCTCTTCAAAACACTTGGTAGAAGAAGTAGCATATAAGTAGTAAAATGTGGACTTGCTGCAAGTGTCCAGACATGAGGGTTTCCTTCAGGGATCTTTTGTTTGGCAAGCATTGCTACTTGGTTGACAGCAGTCTTGGAACCTCAACAGCAGGCAGGAGGATGTCCTGATGGAGTCTGTGGCTCTTTGCAAAGGTTGTGGAACAGGGCCCCCACCAGGCAGGAAGACCCGTGTGCTGGGAAGCCTGATTTGGGCCAGACTTTGGTCTCTGCTCCAGGAACAGAGCAGCACAAAGCTGCAGTCACACAAAGAGGCTAAGCTTCAGCCCTCCCACCAGGCTCTATCGTGCTGTCTGTTTCTGCCTTCCACTGCATCCATTCTTAATTGTTCTCTCATTGCATCACTCTCTCCTCTGAGCATTGCTGTCGTGCTTCTCCCACCTCCCTGGACCAAAGTCTATCTGGAAAATGAGGACAATTCCCCTGGGTGGGAAGTCACTTTCCAGTCTGAGCATGGAATAATGCATCACACCGCTTCCTCCGAGCCTAACTTCTCTTTCCATGACTAACTTGCAGCCGGCCCTTTTCCTCCTCTCATAAGTCTGTCTACTGTACTTGCTACTCTATTAACTATTTCTGCCAGCAGTAACGTATTACTGAAGGGAAAGTATTTTTATTTTTTTTAAGATTTATTTATTTTACTTGGAAGTCAGAGTTACACAGAGAGAAGAAGGAGAGAGAGAGAGAGAGAGAGAGAGAGAGAGAGGTCTTCCGTCTGCTGGTTCACTCCCCAATTGGCTGCAATGGCTGGAGCTGCACCTATCCAAAGCCAGGAGCCAGGAGCTTCTTCTGGGTTTCCCCTGCATGTGCAGGGGCCCAAGGACTTGGGCCATCTTCTACTGCTTTCCTAGGCCATAGCAGAGAACTAGATTGGAAATGGAGCAGCCGGGACTCAAAACAGCGCCTATATGGGATGCCGGCACTGCAGGCAGCAGCTTTAACCGCTGTGCCACAGTGCTGGCCCCAAGTCTTTTTCTTAAATATTTATTTATTTGAAAGGCAGAGTGATGGAGAGAAAGGGAAAGAGAGAGAGAAAGAGAGAGAGAGAGAGAGAGAGAGAGAGAGAGAGAATCTTGGTTTACTCACCAAATGACCACATTGGCCAGGTCTGGACCAGGCTGAAGCCAGCAGCATGAACACCAACTGGTTGTCTCCCATAGGTGATAAGGGCCCAAGCACATAGGCCATAGTCCGCTGCCTTCCTGGGGGCATCAGTAGGAAGTTGTATGGGAAACAGAGCAAGCAGGACACACAGTGGCACTCTGACATGGGATGCTAGTGTCAGAAGTGGTAGCCGAACCCACTGTACCACAACGCTGGCCCCTGAAGGGGAAGTCTTATGGAATTTGGAGGAACTGAATGTTTTTCTTATCATATTGATGAAGTGGACAGCTAACAATGATATGGACAGGATTTGCCTCTCCAGGGATGCCCCCAGAGGTACAGAATACAATGCCCACTGTCCTGGCTGACTGATTCTTTGAGAAAAAAGCACTTTTGAAAAAAATGTTGGAGGAAAATGGGTATCATAGAATATGCATGAATTGCAAAATGTTTTATATTGTCTTAAATGTAGCTCTAATTTCATTTTCCATCAACTTTTTGGAGTCCTTTCATGGTGATCCCCATTTCTCCATAGCAAGCCTTCCCGAGGGATTTCTAATTTGAGAAAAATCAACCTGGAAATCCCACACTGAAATCAGTAACTCGGTTTGTGTTATGCTTATCTTTGTTTTCCTAACAGTTGAAGAGACTCCTCGGGGTTTTGAAAGCTGAGACTCCGAGGGAACTGGCAAATGAGCTGCTGTTCACTTCTGTTCCATGTAAGAGCCGTGCTCCCATGGGTTCTAACACTGAAATAGGTTTTGTTTTTGGAAAAATCATAAGCAAACAAAATGATATTTGTATGTGTTAGTATTAATTAGTTTTCCCATTTATTGACTCATTCAACAAATGCTTACTTGAACACATGGGGTAGTCCAGATACCATTCTAATTGCTGTACAAAACAGACAAACACTTCATCCTAGTGTAATTAGGCGATCCCAAAGGTTAATTGCAGGTCACAAACTTCTGTGAGTAACAAAATGACTGTGCACATGTTCTAGTTCCCAAAAGATTTCAGTGTCGGTGCGGCCTCATCCTCTTTCCAGGAAGCATCTTTTCTTGTGGAAGGTGATGTTGGGAGTCCCCTTCTCTGTCTGACCATTATGAAATGGAATTTTCTGGTAGGTAAAATATGGGGTCTATAAAAACGATGAAATCCCTTCCCCTCTGCTGTTGGTTAAGACAGAGGAGTGCTTTTCCTTCAATGCTGTCCATTGTTTCATCCCAATCCTCTTCTTTCCCAAACTTTGAATTGCCTACATTTTCTCACTTTTGGCTTTTATGTACCAAGATCCTTTAATATTGTCCTCTGAGAATTCTTTGTAATTTGTAATAATTCATGATCAAATAGGTATCTGATTCTACATTTCCATTGACAAGCACATTTTTGAAATATTCCCTTCTGAAGAATATTTTAAAAACTTATTCTATGCTAAATAATTGTGCTCAGGCTAAAAAAATTCATGATCACTGCTTCCCAGAAAAGGAAGATAGCATAGCCAATAAATGTATAAGAAAATGCTCAACCTCACCAGTAACTGAGGAATTACAACTTAGAAACAGTATTATTTCATGCCTACATGCTGGCCAAAGTTTAAAGTCTGACAGTGCCAAGTGCTGAAGAAGTTGTGACTCAAAGGGAATTTCACATCTGGCTGGTGGGAGAGTAACTTGGAACTGCTCTGGAAAGTAATTTGGGCCATATCTGTTAAAGTCTTTTAAAGATAGAGTTTTCACTTTAAAATTGTATGTGCAATTGACCCAACCATTCCACTTTCAGGTATGTAGTGCACCCAAGAGAAACAAATGGAAGTTGCTTTTATAGGAACTTCTGGAATTGTATACTGGTGACAGTGATTGAATTAAAGCTACATGTATCAGCATGGGAATTCTCAAAAACATAATCAAGCAAAGGTGGCAAGCAACAGGATATGTGTAGGTTGGTATCACTTACCTAAAACTTACCAGTCTGTATCCATTTCTGGTGGAAGGATAAAACATGCATAGAAAGGGTGAATTCCACCTGAGGAAGAGAGGTCACCTCTAAGCAGAGAAAGAAGGAAACTGCATTTGCACAGGGCAGTACAGGAGACCTAAATCCATACCTGTAATTTTATGAAAATATCTGCATATACAAAATAGTAGGATTTGACAAAGCTTGGTCTTTTAGGGGCACGTTCATTAGTCACACTATTTTTCTTGTATGCTTGAAATCTCTTGTAATGAAAAAGAAAGTATATGTCAACAGAACAAAAACCAGAACTCTTGAGGTCAGAGACCAGAAAGTTGCCAGTGTGTACCCATTCTTGTCCAACCCAGCAAATGCTGGATTTGGAGGGACAAGGACATCTACTTACCAGGGAAGCCGTCATCAGGTTACGGCAGGGCCTACATCAGTGGCTGCACATTAGAATTACATGAGAGATTTACAGACACCTAAAGCTTACTCCCAGAGGTTTTGACTTCACTGGTCTCCGAAGGGTACCAGTATTGTTAAAAACAATACTGTGATTCTGTGCAGTCAGAGCTGAGAGCTGCAGGCTTGAGTGAAATCTCTCTCTCCTCCAAGTCCAGCTTAAGAAGCGACCTCTGATGTTCTCCCGTGTAGACCTTGCTCCAGGGCGGGGACAAGTGGCTCCCTACAGGAGATGGGAACACACTGGTCGCTGGAAAATTCACACCCTCTATAAACCCAGTTTCTTGGGGGGTTCTACTACTAGAAAACCATCTGTGGTCCTTACGCTGATGAGAGTCCGACTCTGGAACTGCAACTGTGAAGTCCACGCTGAGGTCTTACACTGACACTGAGAAGTCTTGTCTGAGTGACCAGCCAGCCTGCTTTTCCCATCACCTCACGCTTTGCTACTACCTAATTCTGTTGTTCCACATAAAATCCTTTGAGTTCACACTACGTTCCAGTAAAGCCCAAATACCTCCACACGGCACTTCCAGTAGGGATCCTTCAGCCTCTTGCTCTCGTCCTCCCCTCTGGATGGCTGCACTGCTTCCTAAACACGGAGCGGGCCGCGTCTGGGCTTTCGTCCTGTCCCCTGCTCCCTTGCCTAGGTCGTTCCCCACCTCCTTTTCCACACTGCTGTCACCACCCCTCTTTTAGAACAACGACTCCACCTCTCGGGTGTCAGCTTGTAACGCACATTCGGGGCCGGCGCTGTGATGCAGGAGTTAAGCCTCTGCCTTCAGTGCCGGCATCGCCTATGGGCGCTGGATTGGAAGGAGAGCAGCCTGGACTCCAGCTGACTCTAATGCTAATGGCCTGGGAAAGCAGCAGAAGGTGGCCAAAAGGCCTGGGCCCCTGCATCCGCGTGGGAGACCCAGAAGAAGCTCCCGGCTCCTGGCGTGGCCTGACCCAGGCCTGGCTGTTACAGCCTTCTGGGGAGTGACCCAGCAGGTTGAAGAGCTCTCTCTCGCTCTCTCTCTCTCTCTCTCTCTCTCTGTCTCTCTCAATTTATGTATTTCTGCCTTTCAAAGAAGTGAAATGAGTCTTTAAAAAACCTCACATTCGCTTGGGGCCTTTCTCTGCTCCCCAGGTCTAGATTAGTGCTTCTACCAGTGGCCTGTTCTAAATGGTGCTGGAGCTAGAAGCGGGTGGGGGTGCACTGTGGGTGCTAACAGCTTGCAGTCACATTTCTATGTCTGTGCCAGCTCTCCTCTCTCCACGGTATTCCTCCACAAAGGAGATCCATCTCTCACTTATCCATACAAGGCCACTTACATTTGCCCAAATGCAAAGACCTTCCTTTCAAAACTTGGAGTCTCTGCTCTATTTTTGTTGCTGTTTTCAATGTTTTTTCCTCGTTCTTGTAGTAGACGAACATTAATTGAGAACTTGCTCTATTCTGGGCTCTGTGCTGATCTTGAGAAAATAACCTTGACAAAGATAATCAATTCCTCCTGATCCTTGTAGGTCTCCCTCTGGGCCTTTCTTCTTCCAAGAGGCATCCCTCACACCTCACAACCAAGTCATGAACTCCTCCCTCATCTCCCACAGCACCCAGGACTACCCCCATGTTCCCAGAGCTTCTCGCTCTGGAGTCACCTGTTTATGTGTCTGCATTCCTCTGTTTGCCTTCAGACTTTGAAATCTGTGAAGACAAATATGCTTTATTTACTGGCATATCCCCACTACCTAGGCAATGCCTAGCACCATAGTTGAAGTTCAACAAATATATGTAGAAAGAATAAACATTTTGTATAACAATGAGCAGGAATTTGGAATTTTGAAGGTTGATGATGAGATACCCCAGTGCAGTCATTCTATCAACAGCCCGGGATGTGGAACCAGCACGTGGGGAAGACAGAATGTGAAACATAGATTGAAGTTTTTCGGCACAGGAAGATGAAGTGGTGAGTAGCATGATGACTTCTCTTGGTAACGGCACAGAAACAAAAGAAAAACAGAATCGCAGAGACTGTATTTGGGTGGAAAGCCCCTGTCCTAGACGAAAGAGATTGTAGCAGAAGTGCTGTAGCTATTGGTGCCACCTTGATATTTCAATTAAGGCTCTTGATAGCCCACACTGAGCCCCTCTGTCTCTGGGCTTTTTCTCATCATTGGGGGCATGTTGGGGCCAAACGGGGCAAGTCAGCAGTGATGGAAAATCATGCTCCCATAAGCTGTTCTCAACTAATTTCAGGCAGGAAGTTGGTGGAAAACACCCCACCTTCTCTACCCTTCTCTAGGAATAAATTTGGGATAGGTTCTCCCCTGGTCCTCAGAGCTCCAGTGGGGTCGGGTACCAGTCGTCCTCAGCGGTGCTTGTGTGATGATGCACGCTTGATTGCTGCTCTTCCCTTTCTGGTCTCACTTCCCCATGCCTGACTAGTATTTCCTGGAATCACCTCCTCTATAGACTACTTATGCTCCTATCTGCTTCGGGGGAAACCCAGATCAAAATAGGGCTAATGAGAGAAGCATGTAAAGAATAATTTAAAAACTTGGGACATTAGGATGTCTGGGACTTAGAGAAATGGTTTAAAGGGAAGGAGGTCTTTTGCCGTGTATGCACTGCCTAGAGCGCTCAGGGTGGGGTCCAGACAACTCCAAAACTGCTTTAATGCATTTGTGGGAGAAGCCCAGGAAGATAAACAAGAAAGACTTTGCTTGGCAAGATTGAGAATGTGCACAAACTTCTTAATTTAACTTAATGTATTGATTTGAGAGACAGGGGGACAGAGACAGACAGACATCCACTGCCTCACTCCCCAAGTGCCTACAATGGCCAGGGCTAGGCTGAAGTCAAAGCCAGAATTCAGGAACACAATCCATATCTCCTTTGTGGGAACCCAGTCCCTGAGCCATCACCACTGCCTCCCAGGGTCTGCATTAGCAGGCAACTGGAGTCAGAAGGAAGAGCTGGTCTTGAACCCAGGCACTCTGATATGGTACATGGGCATCTGAACTGGTGTCTTAATCAGTAGGCCAAATGCCAGCCCCAAGAATGCACACAAACATTTTCCTTCTACTGTTAATACCACCTGTTTTGGGAAGTTGCCATTTATTTCACACAAAACTCATATTCTATGGCATGTCATGTTTTACAGCTTTCTCAAACTAATTTGGAGTTTGAGGGTCAACTTCATTAACCCAGCCAAATGCTCTTTGGTTCCCGTTATAATTCTATACTTTAAAGATACTTCACTACAAAAATTCCACATTTCCTTCACTTTTGAAGTGAAGGATCATTATATAATACAGTGCAATTGTGTCCTTATGTTTCCTATTCATGAATCGAGACATTCTTCTAAAGATTCCTAGCTACTATAAAACTATTGTTTAAATCTCTTCTCCCAAAGTTCCATTATTTCTCAGTTCTCACTTTTGACCAAGGAGTCTACTTAACTATTTAAACAAATTTTTAAACAATATTTATTATTTGAACAACTTTATCAAGAATTATCCCATAAGCCATTCTTGTTAGGACAGTAGCTGCATCTATTTTGTGTCCTTAATTTTATCAAAATGCAAAAAATACTTTTTCTACAGTTATAATAATATTGTATATTTTGTCAGATTATTGTTTAAAATTACTTCCACACTAGGCCAGCACTGTGGCTCAATAGGCTAATCCTCCGCCTTGCGGCGCCAGCACACCGGGTTCTAGTCCTGGTCAGGGCACCGGATTCTGTCCCGGTTGCCCCTCTTCCAGGCCAGCTCTCTGCTGTGATCTGGGAGTGCAGTGGAGGATGGCCCAAGTGCTTGGGCCCTGCACCCCATGGGAGACCAGGAGAAGCACCTGGCTCCTGGCTTCGGATCAGCGCGATGCGCCGCCCGCAGCGGCCATTGGAGGGTGAACCAATGGCAAAAGGAAGACCTTTCTCTCTGTCTCTCTCTCTCACACTATCCACTCTGCTTGTCAAAAAAAAAAAAAAAAAAAATTACTTCCACACCAATTATACATTGTTGTGCTTGAGCCAGTACAGAGGAGTCCCACACATTGGTACAATCTGATGGTCCTTTATTGCCAATGGTGGAGAGTGGGCTCATGCCCTAAAGAACTCCCAACCCTGAAGCTCAAAGCAACAGGGTTTATAAAGGAAAAACCACAAAAATGCGAGGGGGAATACATGGTTGCTAGGATTGGGGGGAATACATGGTTACTAGGGTCAAGCTGACCTAAGACCTATGCAAAACTAATATCAATTACAATCTTGACAATAGACAAATTGCAATCTTTGCATTAATCCAGGTGCAGCCTATCTGCTTTATGCTTGAGTGATCATGCTAGGGAGCTTCTATGCTCTGCCAAGTGGGATGCATATGCTGTTGTTGAATGAGAATTGTTGTTGTCTGAGTTTTAGATCATAGTTTCAGACCAGAATCTCATGGTGGGGGGTGTGGTGCTTTCTCAAGATGGAGTCTCTTGGGGCCACCGCCGTGTCATAGAGCATAAAGCTGCCACCTGAAGTGCTAGTATCCCATGAGCACCGGTTTGAGTTCCGGTTTGAGTCCTGGCTGCTCCACTTCCGATCCAGCTCTCTGCTATGGCCTAGGAAAGCAGTAGTAGATGGCCCAAGTCCTTGGGCCCCTGCACCCATGTAGGCGATCTGGAGGGGGCTCTTGGCTCCTGGCTTCAGATCGGAGCAGCTCCAGCCATTGTGGCCATCTGGGGAGTGAACCAGAAGAAGGAGGCTATTTCGTAGGACAACCTCTACAAGAGACTCTACCTGGTTATATAACAGACCAATAGAAGATTGGAGGTGGCTGATGTTTACATATGGGAAGTACTAAGCTCACCCTGAAGCAAGGCTGCTGTGCTGAGAATAGCAATGGCTGCATACTGAACCCATCTAGAATGGGAACTAACAGGAAGGCAGTGTGACGTTGGAGATTGTTTAGGCCAGGGGGGATTACATACTGTAAGCACAGAGCTAAAGAAGGACTTGTACAGTGATATGAAGGCCTGGACCTTTCGGTGCCAGTCAGAATGGAAGGTGCTAAGAGCTTGTTTTCTCTCTGGTGGTCCCAGCCCCATCTGCTGCTCACTTTTGGGTGGAAGATTCAAAGATGTGGTTGAACAGGATGTCATAGTGGGGAGAGGTGGGAGCGGGTCTCATAGCAAAGCTTTCTGTCACAGCTTACAGCCTGTATGCACGAAACATTTTGCTAAACCCTGAGGGGCCCACAGACACTTAGCCCAGCTGGATGGCCTCAGCTCTCCCCCACCTTTAATCCACAGACTACTACTGTAGGGATCTGGGGTGTCGGTTTCATCTTGGCTACTTCCTGCTGACAGGGGGTCTCTGTCCTAGGGGCCCCTTAGGGTGCAGAGTGGAGAATGGCAGTCAAAACAGGGCTCCAACAGCAGGTGGCCTCTCAAGGAGGCTGCAGTGCCAGCTTGCAGAAACTGCTCTCATCCAAGGTTTTATGTGCATGGCCATCTAGAATTTTATTATAAGTCTGGAAAAAAAATGAATCTAACAACCAGATTAAATATACAGGATCCAAAACAAAGCATGGAGTTATTATTAGAGGACCTATGAAAAGTGCTGTCTAAACCAGGAAGCAGTTTTTTCATTTAGTGGCAAACAGAAACTGACAGGAGGGGATTGATAGTAATCATTTGATGTTAAGGCCTGGCCAGGTATGTGAGGCCTAGACCTATCTAGCTCTTTACAATGGAGTACTGGAAGAGACACCATAAGGGAGGTGTGACCCTCCTTAGGGCAGGCACCCTGTTGACTCCCATTTCCCAGCTGGCCTGGAGCAGAGCCGGCCTGAACAGGAGGTCAGTATAGACTAGGCAGAATCTCCAAAAGCAGACCTACAGCTCTGCCTGCAATGTTACTGACCCTAGGCTGTCCCCCTGATGGCGATGGTTACTTTGGAAGCTGGACAGAGTGAAGGACTTTTAGCTTGGAGCCAACAAGGTCTGCAGCTCTGACCGAGGAGTCCTTTGGCTCCAGGGCAGTTCCATTTGCAGTGACACAGCTGTGAGGGGCAGAGCTGCCAGGGCTCTTCAGAGGCCGCCTCCCGTCATGACTGTGTCTGTCCGAAGCCCTGGCTTTTCCCATTAAAACACCAATGCCATTCGGAGTGGACTGGCCTTGTTGGGGCTCTGTGATAGCAGACAACTATCTAAAGCTGTTATTAATCGGCTCTCACCTATCCTTACACTACTCCTGCCGTCTAGCTTGCTCTCCTTGTTCCTGGTCTTTGTAAAGTAGACCACAGAGGAGGCCTTTAGGATGTCGGCTGAGGGAGTGCTCAATCTCATCTCTGATCTTTAGTGGCCTGAGCTAGAAATCTGTGGTCACAGGCATGTTTTGACACTGTTCTTCCTGTGAGATAAGAGGAGGAAAGTTACGATTTTTTTAGGTAAGATCAAACATGAACACCATTATCCAAAGTGTCTATAAATTTTGAGGTAATTAGACTTTTGTATCTCCACTTTGTTTTGGTTTGAAAAGGGAGGTTTTGCGTGTTTACTATGCCCATGACAAAATAAATCTGCCTGTAGAATCATATCATAATGCTTTTATTTAGGCTATGTTATTTGTTTTTCTGCATGTGGCCAGGCTATTTTGCCTTTGATATGTGGCCAAGACTAGTACAGAAAATGTTAGACATCCTTTTTATAAGGTCTAAAGAGCAAACTGCAGATCCTGATGGAGAATTTAGAATAGAAACAGTTTCTCATCTTGAAGAGAATAAAGGCTTCTTAGATTGCTTACTGTCAATAACTTAATATTAAATGAAAACAGAAAGCAATTTTAACTGTCAAATAACAACTCAGGAAACTATCTATCAAAAGGCTTAATGTCATTCATAAATTTTTTAACACAAGTATTACTTGTTTGACCAGCAAACTCAAGTATAAACATGTCAATGACTTAAAAAAAACATTTTTGGTTTCTTTGTACCAGCAAGTTTAAAATATCTGATATAGAGATTTATTTAGGTCATGTGAACCAAAAATGTATTTTGGGTTAACTTAGCAGTTTAAGATTATGACCAATCTTACCTATAAGCCAATTAAGACAGAGTTCTTAATAAATTTTTCCATATAGACATAAAATATGTACACATGTATAACATATAACATACATTATAGGATAGAACAATAAAGTAGTTTTAGTAATAGCTTTTAAAATTCTTTAACTGTTTTTTAAAATAAAATAATTAATTAATTAGAATTACATCCTGCTTTTAGTAACCTGAATTAACCATACTTTTTCTCAGTTGGAACCTGTTAAACTTTGGCTTTATCTAGTTGCAGAGACGTCCCAAAGTACTGAATACAATAAAGGTCAGGAAAAAGAGGACACATTTAAAGACAGAACCAACAATGCTTTAATTTTCATAAGCAGTAAATCTGATTTTTAATGTTTATAGCAAAATACAAAACTGAATGACAAAAGACTTTAAATAGCCATGGTTAAAACTTAATAACCAACGAGAAGAGGCACTTGCTTACTCTACATAGTATTTTAGAAACACCTTAAGATTTTATAAAGCCTTTATCCTTTTTAGTCCTCTGGGCCTTTTTTATTTTATTAAGATAACCATCATGACTGATAACACAACAAAACCATTAGGCTTTTTTAACTTTTGGACATTTGTATCAGTAGCATTTTACATTATGACGACTTAAAATTTAGTACCACTTCACATCTTGACAGTATTTTTTAATAATCTAAATAGCCTAATTAGTTGGTGTTTATAACTTTGAATTTTTGAATGCCTGTCAAAGATGTCAAGAAGGCTTAAAATATAACATAGGCCGGATTTAATCATTGTTATAAAGTGACGAACCAAATGTTTTTGAATGAGTATATATTTAAACAAACCGTAACTCTTTTAATAAAAACTTAGCTGTTTTTAAACAATCAGAACTTAAGAGTGTTTATAACCTGGAACAATTTAAAGAAGTTACAAATAAGGAAGAGAAGAGAATTTACTGGAACTGGCTAGAAAACTGACAGAGTCACCAATCAAACAAAAACTGTTTACACCTGGATGTCTTAACATGCTGCTATTATACCGTACGAACATCTGCATTAAGGTCAAAATTGCGTTTACATGAAATGTTACTCTTTTTATAAAATTCTAGCTGGAAATCAGTGACATAAACCCAAGATTGCA